TCAAAATGGCTGACTGGTGGCCATTTTGTTTTAATGATTGGGCTTCTAGAGCCATACATGTATCTCTTAAATGCTTTGACTGATTATATTCAAATTTTATATATTCATTATACATCATGTTATATATATACACATGTATTCAAAATGGCTGATTTGATATCTCTCAATATGGACAAGTACTTGTTTGACGATCGATACAAATGTCAATCATTTTAATGTTAAAAAATCATATTCCTGACATGGTTATATTCCAGCTATATTACTATAAACAAAACTATATATCTTAAATTCGATAACTAACAGGGAATGTGCCATGCATGGCTTGTTCAGTGTATCCCCTACAAACACCCACTCCACCCCTAGGATCTGTACCCAATATTTTTGATAAATTAAGTTTTTTCATTGAGTTTGTAACTATGTGACATCAATTTCATCATGAATCACAGTATATCGTTAGTTCGCAAATCATGGGCAAGGTGATCAGTAGTTTTAGTATGTTTTTTGTCTTTAATTTTTGTCTTCAATCTGTTACAAAATATTTGTAATCAAAATGCTGTTATGTAAATATTACCTTTTCATTTTCATTTTCCCTAGGTATATGTTTAAGTAAATTCGAGGTGAATTCAGATTTTGCACTACTTTGCACATAGATGCATTGTGGGAAAGAACTTCTCAGAGATGCATTGTGGGAAAGAACTTCTCAGTGTTTATAATGGAAAAATCTATTATCACATTGAAAACTCACTAAATAAAATTTTTATTAGGCATATAAATATGATTTACCATAGAAACCAGTGCAAAAATTACAAAAATCTATTTTTTTTTTTTAAATCTAGTGTCCCTTAATTTTTTTTTTTTCACTTTTGGTATCGTAAGGATATAATAAGAAAAGCATGAATAAAGATGACTTATAATCTTCATTTTGACTCCAACCTCAGAGACAACAATTACACCCAGAAAGTTCCAGAATGTGCCTTACATACAATGAGCTTGCAGCTACTAAGAAATGCTTTATTTCCGCTTGGAATTTATTTTTGCTATTTTTACTGAAGTAGTGATTCAGTGAAAATAAAATCCAGCAAATTTAACTTTTTTCCGATATACTGATCAAAAATCAGTGAAAATAAATTCCGTACAAAAAGTCATTCCAGCAAAAATTAATTCCGGGTAAAATTAAGTATAGTACAATAATGAGAAACGAATCTTATAAATATATGACTATAAACGAAACCAATTAGTAATCTAAAACCCCATAAGACTATTTTTTGTCAATTTTGACAAATAAATATGAATATTATATTGATACGATATCTGTCTAAATAGATATAATCTATATATAACTGGTAATAGGTTTGTAAAAGTCAATAAAGAGCACCATGTACATTCTGTCTGCTTCATCCTAAATTTACATTGAAATTAGAGTAATTTGTGAAAAATAGCTCTATATTTCTATGACAATTACAACATCCATCTACTTGTTTTTTAGCTCCGCTGTTGACTTTGCCAAGCGAAGCTTATCATTGATTGTTCTTCGTTGTCGTATGTTGTCTTTTGTTGTCCGTGTCAACTTTTTACATTTTTAACTTCTTGTTAAAAACTACAGTTCTTATTGCTTTGATACTTGGTGTATAATACCCAAGGCAGACCTCTCTTAGGTTTGTTCATTTTCTGGTGATATCTTCAATTATCTAATTTTGATAAAAAGTGATATTTTCGAAGTCTTGTTGAAAACTGCAAGTCCGATTACTTTTGATGTTGAACATGTAGGTACCTCAGATAAACCTCTCTCAGATTTCTTCATTTCATGATGATATCTTCAATTTCCTAATTTAGATGAATATTTTGTTATTTTTGGTAAAAAGTTATATTTTCGACTTCTTGTTGAAAACAGCTAATCTGAATGCTTTGATACAATACATACAATTAGGTACCTCAGGTAGACCTCTCTCACATTTTTTCATTTTCTAATGATATCTTCACTTCTTTAATTGAAATGTGCATTGCTAACAGCGGAGCTATCTCAGCCGAGAGGCTGCTTGTTTCATCATTAAAAATAGGTTTTGTATTATTTTCACAGGTAGCAGACGAGATAGATTGGTGGGCCTGAGTTGTTTTGTGAGTGGGTTCCATGAAGGTTTTATGTATGATGTCTACAACTGTGACTGTACACTGTTGTCTACATACAACTACACTGCTAAGTCAAAACTTGTGACAACCACGGACAGTTTACTCCATGCTGTCACACACAATGGTGTGGAGACGTATACTATCAGAAAAATGGCAGCCGCTCTGGTTCAGATCAATGAACCCTCACAAAATTTGGTGAGTTGAATTCTTTTAACCCTTCATCTCAATTTGACATTTAACACT